ATGCCTCTCCTGCTTTCCTGACCACATTTTTCTCGTCCTCAATCCATTCCTCTTATCTGTCAACCTAGGCTAGGGAAGTCCTGTCGGGACGGCCATGTTCCAGTACTTTTGCAGCCTTTGGAATTTCTACAGCACTTCTTGTTTCTATCACATTCATGAACCTATTATTATATATTTATTTTCTATTACTTTTTGTCTACACGTGTTCACACGTCTCACAAGAGACAAAATCGTGTAGTGGTTAACGGCGTGGACTTGCGAGTCAGACCCCCTGGTTTGATTCCAAGCTCCATCACTGTGGTTGTGTGAACTCGGTAAGTGCCGTATTTTCTGTTTTCTCATCTGTGAAACGGGCACAACGATGGCACCCGTCGCAGGGTTGTTGTGAGGAGATGAGCGAATGCACGCACGGTGCCTAAACAGTGCCCGGCACCTGGTGATGCCACAACCGTGAGTGGCGATGATCAGCATCATTATTCTCTCACTTATCCAAATCTTACTTGGAGGTATTTTAAGCCCAGATACTCTTTCAGATTTGTTTTGTATCCCTTCCTCATTATTTCCTAGAATGATGTTATGTCAAGGCCCTCAAATATTTGTTGAATAAATAAATGACTCTTAGCCTCGAGAAATCTCTAGAGAAGGAGATTGCTGAGCATAGGACTGTCACTTCCATGGCAACCAGCAAGTCAATGTCCATGCTGATCTCACCTGGCACTTAAGCCTGTTTTGTTAAGAGGGGAGAATATTTGTCTTAAAATCAGTCTTCTCAAATAGCACAAGAAGGCTTTTCTTCTCCACTTATGAGCTAGACACCTCACCTTAAACTGTAATCAGGAAATGAGCCATTTGTGGTGGGAACACTGGAATCAGGGTTCCTGAGCCCTGTGATTTACCATCAGCTTTCTGGGAACATAAGACAAATGTTTAACATAAAACTAAATTGTACTAGGGGCACCTGGGTGGCTCGGTTGGTTAAGCGACCGACTTTGGGTCAGATCATGATCTCATAGCTAGTGAGTTCCAGCCCCACATCAGGCCCTGTGCTGACAGCTCAGAGCCTGGAACCTGCTTTGGATTCTGTGTCTCCCTCTCTCTCTCTGCCCTTCCTCTGCTCACGCTCTGTCTCTCAAAAATGAATAAATGTTAGAAACAAGACTAAATTGTATTAGATGATACATTTCTTTGAACCACCTGGTGAGATGCGTTCGCGCCCTTACAAACTGTAGCCGTTACCTGCCTGTTCCTGTGTGTGTGCTGGCCAAGCCCATCTAATGAAGGTTTTATTTCTCTGGAGGTTTAAATGGGTCTGGGGGCTTGTGGGCCAAGAGAACATCAGAAGCAATTTAGAAAATGATGAAAACACCTGTCCTTCCGAGGCCATCCTTCCTCTCTCCTCCTGCCCTGAATGCTCCACCTCTCCCTCTCAGCTGGATCCTTCCCAGCAGCATTTTAATAAGCTTCAGTGTCTCCCAAATTAGAACCGAACACAACTGCCCTGCTGCGGGCTCTCGCACTTGCTCTCTTGCTCACAGCCAGATTCGTGGGAAGAGCCGCATATCTTACCGGCTCCATTCTCTTACTTCCCACCTGCTCCCCAACTCGGTTTGACTTTTTGCCCCATTAGTCTTCAAGGTGCTCAGCACCCGCCCTCCGCCCACTGAATCTGGTGCACCCTCTCTCTCACTTCTCACTACACAGGTGACTCTGCGGCCCTCCCCGCTGACCAGGACCTCGCTGCCTCCCCCCATTTCCTCCTCCTGGTCTCCAGGTAGTTTCCAGTGTCAACAAAGAGGGCGTAACTTGCCTCGCCTTTCTGCTGCGCGTACACAGAAGTACATACATCATTCATCAGGCTGTGTATTTATGTTTGTTTTCTTTCTGAAATTGAATCATAGTGTTCACATCGCTTTGTGATTTCCTTCTCCTATTTGACGTTATACACTAGACAGTCTGTAAGTCAGAAAAAAACATCCCTAACGCTACCTTTACATCTTTTTATTTTGGCATATAAATGTGTGTATATCAGACAGAACTTTTAGCACACCAGGACAAGTCATTACATTCTTAGAAATTAGATCAGATTGTGCACCTGGGGGTTCTCTTGAGCTTCCTGGGCAGCAGGACCAGTGGCCACAGTTGCAAGTGCACAGATTTTAACTGGATGTAAGGTAAACGGAGCCTAATTCCCCTTGGCTTCCAGCCCCACCCCGATAGAGCCATGTTATCTTTAGAAGCATTGAGTAGCTCTGTGAAAACACTGGCTCCGTTATCTGTGTTTTGGGTTTCAATAGGAAATTAAAAATTTTTTTTACAATGCTAAGCAAGATGACATTTGACTCAAAGGTCCTGAAAACACTTGTGCTGTCTCCTTCAAAGCTGTCACCTTGGGAGGTAGTAGCCATGTTCCAATGACAGTGCCACGTGCTCAAATGCTCTGTGGAAATTTTCCTTGAGTCTAAGCACCTTTCACTTTCCTTTTTCTTTCGAATTTAAAAAGTAACACCCACTCTTGGTTTACCAGCTGAGTAAAACACAGATAGCTGGGGCCCTCCCTGGGTCGCCCTTGCTAACACTCTGCGGTGTGCTGTAGGGGTGAAGAGAGAGGGAAAGTCCAGGATCTGTTGACTGGAGTGCATCGCAGAGCCATGTTCCGGCCCCAAAGGCCAGATCCTTTCCTTACAATTTCCCAACTAAACACCTTCTAGGAGTCTTCTGAAAATTCTGTTATCACAACAAATATTTTCAAACCCTACCCTCTTAAAATAAAAATCAGGGTAGCCAAAAGTCCAGAAAATTAAAAGATCTCTATAGGGGCGCCTGGCTGGCTCAGTTGGTGGAGCATGTGACTCTTGATCTCGGGTTGTGGATGAGCTCCACATCGGGTATAGAGATTACTTAAAAATAAAATCTTAAAAAAATAAAATAAAAGATCTGTATATTCCTTAATTTTTAGTAGACTATAATTGCTTCCATAGGGATATTTTCCAAAGTTGAATTCCCATCATTAACAGAACAGTTGAGCCAAATGAATTTTCCCTTGCAATTCAAAGACAAAGGGGTTGACAGTAACAAAACAAAAAATCCAAAGCAAACAAAAAAATTCCAAAGAGATAACTCAGGAAGAGGACAAATAGTTGCTGAGGAGAACTTCTGGATATAATGACAAAAACTCAATGGAATTAATTAATTAAGATATTAATTCAAAATATAATTTAAAACAATACTGATGGGACAGGGAACAAAGATGGTCTCTTATCACAGTCCTGAGAAGACTGGGTCAGGGAGCTGGGTTCTCTCCTGTGGCTGGCCAACAATAGCCTACAGGACAAGATGCCTGCTTTTGAAAGGCCAGCAAGCTGAGAATGATTTTACCTCTTTAAATATTTGAAAAAAAAAAAAAGTTTAGTGACCCACAAAAATCAAATGAAATCCAAATTTTAGTGTCCATAAATACAATTTTATGGGAACAGAGCCGCATTCATCCTTTTATGTATTGCTGATAGCTACTTTGCCTCACAACGGCAGATTTGAGTAGTTGAAACAGAGACCACATTGCCTCCAAAGCCTAAAATATTTACTACTTTTCTCTTTACAGAAAAAGCCTGCCAATCCCTGTTCTAAACCAGATTTTACTGCCATCGACTTTGTGTGACCTTAGGCTGGTCTCCTCCCCTCTCTGGATCCACCTTTGCAAAGGAAGGGGCCAGGATCCCCAGCCGAGGTCCAGAACTGCGCTTGTCGGACAAGGCCGAGCGGTCTTCACCCTCTAGCGCCACCTACAGCTCAGGAAGAAAACGGCAGGCGGGAGGCGGCCTGTGGGAAGGACAATCACTGGGCGACCTCAGCACAGCCTTCTTCGCTGGAAGGCTCTTAAATGAAGGCTCTTAAATGAACTCGCTGGAAGATCTCCCCCAGCTGGTGCCATCAGTGGACAAAACCCTGACTTTACAGACCTTTTAACCCGAGAGACCACAACTCCAAGGGGAAACCTCTCCTGCAGCATTCACTTCAGGAGTACTTGCTCCCCACAAAATAGAAGGAATGCAAACCACGAATTAGTACCGAGAAGTGGAGAGAGTAACGTGTATGGGTTTTCTAGGCCTGGAGGAAGAACGAGGAAAAAGCTCGTCGTCTGAAAAACCCATCTCCCGCCCACGAGTCGCCATTCTCTATCTGCGCTTCATGAGACTCACCGACGTTAGTTCTGAACCTTCTGGTTTTAAAAAACCAGGTAAGCAGATTTTGCAGAGCCGAGGAAACCCATATTGAAACAGCGCAAATAAAAGAGCAAGGTGGTTGGTTCCGCCCGCTCTGAACCCAGCCTCTCAGCCTAGAGAGTCTCACGGGAGCCTCTGGGCCCGACGCTCCCAAACATGAGGAAGACCAGGGCAGGCTCGGGCCCCTTCAAAGCAAAAGACTCATGTCGCAGAAGTGCTGCCTTTCAACCTCCCATAAGCCCCGAGTGCTGTGGAGCGTGACACCTGTGTGCTGTGGCTGCAGAAAACCCACCCCAGGGGCGGCACGTGTCCTTCAGACATGGCCACCCCCAATCCTCCCGCCTCGAACCCTCCGGTCGGTTATATCTAACCTCCGTTCCCCAGTCTGGGCCACTCTTGTGATGTGCCCCGAGCAGAACACAGCAGAAGGGATGTTCTAGACCGCTGAGCCCGGAAGAGGACTGGAAGCTTTCACTTCCTCCCTCTTGGAGCCCAGCCACCAACCGGTGAGGAACCGTAAGCCTGACCGCTGGGCGATCGGAGGCCACGCGGAGGGGCCGGGGAGGGTGGGAGGCCAGCTTGGACGCGGAAAGCAGCCACACGACACCTCAACTGAGATGGGCAAGACCCCCCGCAGCTGAGCTTAGCCAAGCTCCAGCACTGTGAGGAATAATGCTGCAGGGATCAAACCTCCATTTCTGGACTAACTCTTCGAGGCAAGGAAGAGACTCAATAATTTGGCACGAGTTTTCTAGGTGGTGTCAAGGGCCACCAACTTACTTCATCATCTTCCTCTTCATCATCATCAGATTCAAGAACACCATCCTGTAGCTCCTCTATAAAGAAAAAAATAAATGAATAACTGCAAACACAGTTGGGAGTCTTGGCCAACAAAATCCTTCAGCTGCTGTAGAGGCGCATAAACGCGCTAATGAGAATCGGGTCACCTTAGAACAATTTGGTTTCTGGGGCCATTGCGGCCACAGGTTGCGATCATCTTCAGCAAATTAAATCTCTCCCCCAGTTTGACCAGAACGCATTGGTAGTGGCGCGAGCAAAGTTAAAAGCCAGCATACAATTTGAGAGGAATTTAGAAAAAAAGAAATTAAACTAGTGTTGCTAGGCATCGAGCTAGATGCTGTACACGTGTTATTTCCTCCGTACAAAGATTTGGTTGACTCTTCTCCCCACTTTATAGCAAACAGCAAAAGGAGGCATACAGAGGATAAGAGATTTGTTTACGGTCACACTCCCGTAAGTGACAGAGCTGAGATTCAACTCAAGCCTTTTTTTTAAATCCCATGATTTTCCCACAGAAGCTGGGGTAGCAGCCGTGGCAGGTAGGGTTCCTGAAGGCTCCCGTGGTTCACTGCTAGATCTTAAGAGTTTATATATAAAGGAGGGATAATAGCAAAATGGAATCTGAGAAAGGACGAGCCTCTGTGTTTTCATCTGTGAAATGGGGATCAGACCACTTACTTCCTAGGGTTGTTGGGTGGGTGGGTGGGTGGGGGGAACTTCACAGTATACCAAACTAAGCCACCTGGCCCAGGGCCAGGTACACAGTGGCTATTAGAGAAGTTTGGTTACTTTCTCCTCCACGAAGCCTTCCCTGACCCCTCACTGGGCAGTCACCCCTCAGTCTGCTGAACACTCAGCATTTTCTCTAGACAGCATTGTCCTGGAGAGTGGTACTAGACAGTACCATACTGGACAGCAGTCTGATAGTACTTGCCACTTTGGGATGATCAGTTTACTCATGTATGAATGGCTATGGACTTGTCTGGGCATCTTCCTCACCCATTGTACTGAATTGTGAGTCCCTGAGAACAGAGCACCGGGCTTACTCATCCCTCTATCCCTAATGCTTCTTCCTTAACGATCATTTGTTTCTTGAACAGATGACATGAAAGAGAGCCTGAGAGAAGAGAGGAAGTCAAGTAGGAAGTAGGAGGCAAGGAGCCAAAGGCTATTCTTGAAGAGACTGCTCAGCATACTTAGAAAGGGGGCAGATTAAACTTAAACCCCAAAACCATTTCGTAGAAGGAATATGTAGAAGCCCCAGGACACCCACTGTCCTTGACACAACCCTCATTCTAAAGGGAAGGACTCTCACGGACTTGGCTAGACCAAGGCCTGCAGGACACCAACTTCTGTCCCCACCTCAGGGGGCTTGCACACCTCCACGCCCATCACGGCCCCACCCCTGTCACGAAACGCTGTTTAAGTCAAGAAAACTACCTTGCAGATGGGGAAATTACGCCATTCTGCACTTGAGCTGAAGCTCCCTCACCTAACTTCTGTGCCCTCCCAGCGCACGTAGAGCTCTGCTCCATGCCACCTGCAGGTAAATGCCTATCAAGCAGGTGGCTTTCGAAACGGGGGTGCTGCTGTATTCATCAGCTGTGGACATTTCTTTTTCCAATATGCAAATGCCCCCTCCCACTTTTTAAAAAAGAATCTTAGATGTTCCGTGAAGCCACAGGCTGGTCCAGCCACAACCCCTCCCCTGAGCCTGTTGGCTCAGACTCATCCTCTTCCCCAGAACAATCCAGTCCTGTGAACTTAATTAAGTACCTTATAACTGTCAGTTCCTCCTCTTGGGGGTGACAGGGACATCAGCCCTGCTTCCCGCACTGTCTCCTGGGTTGTGGCATGGCCAGCTGCCCTCACTCCAGTAACTAACAGTGAGTGGTGCTCGGAGCCATCAGTGTCCTTCCTTTCCTGCGGCCCAGCTGGCGATGCTGGCTCTGCCCTGCTCCCGTCCTCTCCTCAGGGACTGGCCAGTACCTGCCAGGCCCCCCCCCTTGAGGGCTGGAGTCATAGATGAACCTCCCTGTTGCTGCTGGTGGCGGTCACCTCTGTCTGCCACGTCCCTTAAGCTTCCCCAGGGCAGTCCTTCCCTACCTGTGGGGTTAGGTTCCTAAAATACTCTGGAATTTCTGTACTTGGAAACCTTAAAACTTTATAGGAAAAACAGTACTAGAGAACTGAGATGGGCCCGAATGTATGAAAACCCATACGCACGTTTCACATGTTTACTAAAATAGAACAATAAAGCCAATACGCTAAATAGAGATTGTGGCAATGCCATCCGACTTATCTTAAACTAGTAAGCTACTACTAATTCATACTCTACTGTTAATGTCTACTTGAGGATGAAGCCCAAATGGGGTGGAAACTCCAGCTCTCCCCTCTGTGGCTTTCATAGTGATGCTGGTACACCCATTCATTCTGACTCCATGCTCACGACACATATCCTAAGGCAGCTGTGTGTGTGTGCCTCGTCCTCCATTCAAACGTTCAATGACTTCCTTATTTTGTTTCAAAGGATCAGACTTCTAAGTAATAGGGTCTCTGGGGACCTGCCACTGTCCCATGGATACAGAATAACTGAAGTGCTTCCTAAAAAAAAGAAATACTTTTGACACTCATTATTGAAACTGGAACTTACTGAGCAAAGCAGGTGTATGTCAAGCCCCTTCTGAATATACCAGAACTCCACCCACGATAACTTCCTGACAAAGCACATCCCTCACGGAAATGTCTAACTGACCCTCCCTCTTCACATTCTTCAGCATGTTAGCTTAAGGGCCAGTTTAAAAAATTTTTTTTTTTTCAACGTTTATTTATTTTTGGGACAGAGAGAGACAGAGCATGAACGGGGGAGGGGCAGAGAGAGGGAGACACAGAAT